GGATTTAAGAAATGAAAATAAGCATTTGTGTGTATGTAAAAAAATTAGAAAAAAATGCTATGCTTTCCTCTACATGTTCGGCCATCATAGGTGAAGAGTAGGATGTTGTGCACAATTTTATCTTAAGTATTAGGAAGGTTTAATGTGTAGGAATTAAGGGGAAAATGGATGAGTTAGTAAGAATGCCTGAGTAAAAAGGACTTGGTGTCTAAACTCAAAATAGGAATTTAGTGGAAGCATTCCTAGGTGTTTGCAAGTTGTAATGAAGTAACGAAAATGCATTGTAAAAGAGAAGGATCTTTGGAAATTCCCCTTGTAGGATTCGACCTATAGGGTATTTAGGGATATATTTTGTACATTTTATTTTAAACAAAATGTGTTGTAATAAATTGTATAAAGGTGATGAGTTTTGAAGAAAAATAGCATGATTTATGTTGAAAATTCCTAAGGGAATGGTTGATTAAATTAAAGAACACCAACGGTTATAAAGAGGTCTAGACTTGTGTATTGGCATAGGATTGGCAAAAATGCAAAGAAAGGAAAATAAGCGATAAAATGTATGCTTATGAAATAATTATGGTATTGCATCATTTTATTGATGCATTGTAAATTATTCTCTAGGTGTGCCTAGGGATTGAGAAGGATCGGAAATCTCTTGAAGCGATAAAAGTAACTTGTTCCACAAGTAAGCGTATTGGTAAAGCTTCAAGAGGTAAGCTCTATGTTTAAGGAGTCTTTTCCTGCTTGAGTGCTCCACCATGGTTAGTGAACTATGGTTGGACTGTATGACTGTGATTTAAATGCTTTGTATAGATGCATTCATATAGAGTTATTTGATAACATGATATGTTTTGCTCTGATATAACTTCTGTAATTTGATTTCTGTAACAATCTCTGGCCATTGATTGTATAGTACCCGGACGTCCGCTTTGGGGTCCTCCCTCGGGACTGATGGTGTACTCCTCTGATATGTCTGGTTCCGCTTTGGGGTCCTCCCTCGGGAACACGTGCGTTGATTTCCGCTTGGGGTCCTCCCTTGGGAATGACGGCGCACATCTCTGATATGATATGGATATATGCTCTGTTCTGTTATGATATCTGTTATATGTTGTATTTGTATACTCTGTATCTGACTTTCATGCAGGAGTGAGCCAGGGGTATGGAGAATTCTCTATAAACCTGGAGCTTATTGAGATTTGTAATCTCACCCCTCTTTGGGGACACATTTTCATGTGCCCAGATTTCCGGTGAGTCCTCACTAGGCAGGGACACGACACGTGGCTGAGGCAGTTGACAGACCGGATTTTGAGTGGCTGTAGGCTGCTACCTTTTTGGAGTGTTTGATGTATTTTAGTATTTTCGCATTTGATGGATCATGATATTGATCCTTTATTTTGTATATGGCCTGTATATGTTTTGTACATGTCTGTCAGTTTGATGCATGTACATTTGAGTATTCAGGAACGTTATATGATGATGTAGTATTCAGATAGGTTTATGTTTTGATGGCATGCTGTTAGATTTAGTGGCACGGAGCCATGTTATGCATGCGCCCATGTATGGGTATTCGATTATATTTGGATATCTGGTATTTCTGAATTGATATGTTGTATAAACTGTTTATCAGGAAATGCTTCTGAGTGGGATTGGAAAATCCCCAGTTGTCCGATTTATAGAGGAAACTCTGCCCGATTTTCGTTTACGCCGAGAAAGAATTAAGTTAGAAAAAGAAAAAGTTAGCTCATATTTTCGTAAGTTAAGTCTTCCGCTGTTTTCTGTTTTATCATATGTATGTTAATTGAACCGGCTCGAGACGGGGATGTTACACAGCTGATCCCTCGTCCTCATCCTCCCAAGCAGCAAGCACTTCACATTCCAACAGTGATGTATCACCTTCTGGTTCAGGTATCAGTTTATCCTCTCCAGTTTCAGCTAACTCTAGCCCTGTCTCTTCTTCTAGCACCAGTTCTGGTTCGGAGTATGTACCCTCTGGTTCCCTTCGTTCTTCTCCTTCTCATACTATCCTCACTCGATCTAAGTCTGCCCAACTACCTCAAATACTACTGACTTCCCTTGAACCTACCTCACTCAAACAGGCTCTTGTCAATCCCAATTGGCTTACTGCTATGCAATCAGAAATCAATGCTCTTCAAGCTAATTCTACCTGGACCTTAGTTCCCCTTCCCGAAAACAGAAAGGCCATTGGCTGCAAATGGGTCTTTCGGATTAAGGAGAACCCAGATGGCTCTATCAGCAGGTACAAAGCCAGATTAGTGGCAAAAGGCTTCCACCAGCAAGCTGGTTTTGACTTCACTGAGACATTCTCCCCAGTTGTGAAGCCCATTACCATTCGGGTTATTCTTACTATTGCCATTTCTTTTGGTTGGCAGCTAAGACAATTGGATGTCAATAATGCCTTTCTCAATGGAATTTTAGAGGAAGAAGTCTACATGACACAACCCCCTGGTTTTGAATTTTCTGATAAGTCTCTTGTTTGCAGGTTACATAAAGCTTTATATGGTTTAAAGCAGGCACCAAGGGCCTGGTTTGACAAACTCAAGGCATCTCTGTTTCAGCTTGGATTTTTGGCAAGCAAATGTGATCCTTCTCTTTTTATCTACAGGAAGTCCAATCACTGTGTGTTCCTCCTAGTTTATGTAGATGATATAATCATCACTGGAAGTGATGCTAGCTTGCTTCACTCTTTAGTTCAGAATCTGAATGCTGCTTTTGCTCTAAAAGATCTTGGAGATCTTGATTTTTTCCTTGGTATTGAAGTCAAGAAGTCAGCTTCTGGTGGCCTCTTTCTATCACAGTCCAAATACATCAGAGACCTGCTTACCAAAGCCAATATGGCCGAAGCAAAAGGAATTTCTACTCCCCTCCCTTCTGGCTGCAAGTTGTCCAAATATGGTTCCAATTATTACTCAGACCCCTCATTTTATCGCTCCATTGTTGGAGCTTTGCAGTATGCAACTCTCACACGGCCAGAAATTAGCTATGCAGTGAACAAAGCTTGTCAGCTTATGTCTCAGCTTCTTGAAGAACACTGGTCAGCTGTCAAACGCATTTTAAGGTACCTTCGGGGTACACTCAAGCATGGGATGTTGCTGCAACCTTGTCATCCCAGCCATCTCTTTTCTATCACTGCCTTCTGTGATGCTGATTGGGCAGGGCATCCAGATGATCGACGTTCAACATCAGGTGCCTGTGTTTTTTGGATCCAACTTGGTATCTTGGTGGTCCAAGAAACAACCATTGATTGCACGGTCCAGCACTGAGGCTGAATACCGTAGCCTTGCACTTGCCACTTCTGAGGTTCTTTGGCTCAAGTCTCTATTACATGAACTTCATATTCAGTTCTCCACTCCCCTGATTTTCTGTGATAATCTAAGCACAGTTTCACTGTCCCACAATCCTGTTCTTCATGCTCGTACCAAGCACATGGAACTTGACTTATTTTTTGTTCGTGAGAGGGTTCTAGCTGAAGACATTCGTGTCTGTCACGTTCCTGCCATAGATCAGATTGCTGACACTCTCACCAAAAGCCTCTCTGCCTCTCGTTTTGCTGTTCTGCGTGACAAACTCAATGTGGTTGACTATCACTCTTTGTTTCATCCACCCTGAGTTTAAGGGGGGCTATTAGAGTAGATACATAGGGATATATTTGTAACATCTGATAAGGGTACTTTTGTAATACACCAAGTGTAATTAGTTACACTAACCAATTCTGTTCAACAGAATCAGTGACGTGGCTCTTACCCTTAGCACTATAAAGGGGGTCACGTGTGCTGATTCACACATAATGAAAATATGAGATATCTTTCACTTTTCTCTCTTCTCTCTCTTCTCTCTCTCTCTTTCTTCTTCATCTCTCTTCTGGTTTCTCTGACTGCTGAAGTAGATTTTTCCCAAACAAGAAACAAGCAGCAGAAGATGCAAATGGAAAATCAAGTTCAGGAATTTCAATTGTAAACTTTTCTCCTTGGGAGAACAATACTATTTTTCATTCAGTCTCAACCCCATTTAGTAGTCGGTTATTTGGGTCTGAAACTAAGCCTGGCAATTTAACTGAAAAGGATACTAGTATTATTTTTATCGCGGTTGATTACTCAAATGTGATAACAAAGTTGATCAGCTAGTCTTGTGTATATCTCATTTTGTTGAAGATTTTAATATCTATATTTTGGCGGAATGAAAAAAGCCAAAGTAAATCAGGTTAAGGATTCTGATGGTGTACAAGCTCCATAACTAAGGACATTATTTTAGTAGACATAATAGTGATCTGCATCAGGCCTATAACGAGAAAGTTGAGACAAGTCTGTGCGAATAGGGAAAACCTTTTAACAAGGATGGTTATGTGACTTTAATGGAACTCACCTACAACAGAGGTGATGTGATGTCCATGTTAGATCATTGGGAGCCTCCAATGGCAAAGGAGATGACAATGTCATATTAATTTATGATTCCTAAGATAAAGTGGACACAAACATAAAATCCTTTGATATCATACTATTCAGCTGATTGATTGCATATATTATCAGGCTCCCAATGGTTATGAATTTGAGCGACATGCTGGATGCAAACAAAACAACCACACAGTTGTCACATATTTTTGAGGATGGAAAGACCGTTTTACCCAATGGGACAGGAATTGAGGAGTACATCTGAAAGTTAGTTGTTTGAAACAATTTGAACAGTTTTTCGTACAACGATTAATCAGAAAACATTTCACAATTGAAAAGGTAAATAAATTCCTGTCTTCTGTTCAATTTAGAGCAATGGGTGAATATTACTTGCTTTATATAAACAAGCTCACATTTGACAATTATTTTCTTGTCAGTTTTCAGTACTGCTTCTTTTATCTTTTTTCTGGCTCCGCAACCTTTGTAAATTGTATACAAAGTAGCCTTGCTTAAAATAAAATATTTAGTGTAAATATTTTAAACTAAGAATAAGGTCAATGTAATTTCATAAAATTTTAAAGAATGTCAGTGCATTTAACCTTACAAAAAATCAATGATCAATGGATTAAGTCCAAACTAAACAACATAAGAGGCAATGACAAAATCACACTTAGCTTTAGATTCCTATATAACTTCTTGGAAAGTAAGAAACTATGAAAGAATGACCAGGTAAAACACAAAGCACAAGTAACAATCATTTCATCATCATACAAGTATTTTCCTCCTTCCTTCTTGTTCTTGGACAATAATTTTGCCTCCTCAACCACAGCAAGCTGACTTCTGTGCAGCCTGCCCCGCCTCTGCTGGATCTTGTTGCTTGATTCTAATTCCTGCCGGCTGCAATGAAAATATTGTGAGACATTCAACTTGATATATATATATATATATATATATATATATAGAGAGAGAGAGAGAGAGAGAGACAGAGACAGAGACAGAGACAGAGACAGAGACAGAGAGCTATTAACACAATAAACTTGTCTGTGAATTCAAGGAAGAGGAAGTTCTAATACCTCTGTCTTAGAGTCAGTGTCAGCAAGCCTTTGTTTTATATCTCTTGCAATCGAGAAGAAAACTTCCTCTACATTTAGATTTGTCTTTGCACTCTGCAATAGAAAAATCTTCAGTAGGTAATAATCACAAAAAATTCAGGAAGTTTCCACATTCTCAAGTATAGATAACTTACTGTTTCAAAGAATTTGATTCCATACTCATCGGCCAGTGCTTGGCCCTTGGAGGTAGGCACAGCCTAGAGAGAAAGGCAAAGGTATATTAATAATTCCAAAAATCTCATATTTGACATACATAAGAGAAAGAGAGGATCCCAGATGTTAGTGAATCAATTGATGCCATCAAATCAGAACTCAACCCCCTTAACCCTTCCCTCTCAACCACAAACAAAAATGTTTCATTCATTAACAGTCTAATATCATCATAAATTATGCAATGGTAAGAACCTTGGGATGCATCACCCCAAAAGGTGGGAGTGTACAAAGATTTATAAACTCCACATTAGTTGCCCATACAACCAATGTGGAAGGCTGGCTTGAGCTAAAGGAGTACCTCTCAACCACTTTGCACTAGTCTATTTTACTAGACCTGGAAGAACATTGCAACTGGGAGACATGGTGGAAGGCTCTGATACCATTTGATAAAAACCTTGGGATACACCACCCCAAAAGTTAGCTCAAAAGGTGGGAGTGTCTAAGGCCTTATAAACTCCACATTAGTTACTCATACAACCAATGTGGGACTCCAAGTCTCATACCTTACAAATGGGTCCTAACATGCAACCAAGAGTAAAACTTGCATTATAACAAACAATAGAGAAAGTACATTTGATGACAATAATGGTTTATTTCATGAGCTCCTTTAACTTAGATCTGCACAAAATAGGTGTGTCGAAGGTCCCAGATATTTTTCTCTAGCAAACCCAGTCAAAAACAGAAAGGTCCTAGATGTCTGCATACCCTTTTGCTTTCATCCATGTCAGCTTTGTTCCCCACTAGTATTTTGTTAACATTGTCTGAAGCATGTTGCTCAATGTTACGAATCCAATTCCTGATATCTAAAATTAGCATAAGCAGGGTGAATATTCCAGATGAGAAAGCCTTTGAAGAGATAAGTACATATCTCCAAATTTTTAACCGAAGAAGCAACAGATGGAAACTTTACTGTTAAATGAAGATTCGTCTGTAACGTCATAGACTAGCAATATGCCCATAGCACCACGATAGTAAGCTGGGAAAAAAATAAATAGACAGTTTAGTAAAGAGTTGGCACAAAACAAACTACTTGACAAACACTCTCATTAGTAAAAAATTTAAAAACCACTGAAGAATAAAAGAGCTTTAAAGTAACGTCAATAAAACAGTACCTAGTCAGCTAGATATGGAATTAAACTCATGAAGCATCAAACACCAAAATAGCAGGTACCACTAGTTAAAGTTCATTTTACATAACTCAAACAAAGTTCACTATTGATCTTTATATTAATAACTGATCAATTATTAATTAAAAATGTCCAAAAGGAAGATGCTGCCAGAAATTTTTTCGTCTATAAATTCTGCGAGGTTGGCAATTGAAGCAATGGGGACCCAAACAAGAGGTGAAGACTATTTTATTTAGGCTTAGGCATGGGACATAATTTTGGGGATCCGATTTTTGTCTTAATCCTAGGGACTGAGAATTATCTTTCAATTTGACTGTGGACTGCCTATTACATTCTGCTGCATTAGTGCTGACATTGAATAACAATTATGGTATTTCTTTGTGCGTACTTTATCTCTCTATTCTGTTTTTCTACTGTCTATAATCTCTTTATTTATTTATTTATTTTCCTCCTTTTTTCCCTCTACCTTTTCATCCTACATCAGGAAGTGCCATAAACCACATACCAAGCAATGCAATGTCTTTCCGTGTTCACATACGAGCAACAAAAGATTATAATAGTACCTGTAAGGGTCATGAACCTTACCAGTTGTAATCGTTCGGAACCGCTCCTGACCTGCAGTATCCCAAATTTGGAGCTTGATCCGTTTTCCATCCAGCTCAATGGTTCTTATCTTAAAGTCAATGCTGCATCAAGAACAAAGTCCTTGTGATGCTAGAGAAACTTTTGGCACACAATAATCCGCATTTCCACTCCTAAATTGTGAAAACTCACCCTATGGTTGTGATGAAACTAGTAGTGAAAGAACCATCAGAGAATCGCAGAAGAATACAACTCTTTCCAACGCCTGCAAACAAGAATAAGAGAAAAGGTTTGTAAGGAATATTGTCAGCCAAAGCACCACATTATCATCTTGCAGTTCCTACAGTCATTATATTTTTCATTTCCTTATAGTCTACTATAATACTTTCATTTATCCAATGACTTAAGTAAAACATAGAGGGTCGAAGAAACTATGGCATCTATATCATGTTGTATTAAGTAATCAAGGCACGGGAAAAAGTTCATATGAAACGCCAACCAAAGCCATATTTCTAGTTTTCCATGGGGTAAAAAGATTACAAGAATACAAGAAAACAAAGCTTAAAACCATCTTGCAGAAGCAACCAGACCACTTTTGGCCAAATTTGGTAAGTGACGTAGTTTAAATTAAACGAATCACTCTATCACAGAGAACAGAGAGGCTTAACTTCATACGATAACAAGAAGAATTTACCCGACATTTTCAGACTAGGATCAGAAGGACTCTTGATAGTTGATACCATATTTACATTATAGTAACAGAAACAATGATTCAAATGCTCATTCAAACTAGATCATGAAAAGATTTAGCTCCAGAATTAAATACATTTGCCGCAAAGTCCAGATTCAACAATTTGAAATGAAAAAAAAGAAGAAAAAAAGTCATATTTGTATATAAAATCATCTCATTCATTATCTATACAAACAATCAAATGAACCTTCACTTACCACTGTCGCCGATCAAGAGAAGTTTTATGAGGTAATCGTAATCCGCACGAGCCCTTGCCGGTGGAGCAGCCATCAACTTTCAATTAATCGATGAATCTCTTGCAACTGCAACACTGGCGAAAATTATTTATATTCCTATCTGTCTGCATACAATTCAACAAAAAGACAGAGAGAAAAGAAAGGAAATCATTTTCATGTTAATTCCTCAACGCATAAAAAGAAATGCAAGAGAGAGAGATACCAGATCCGAAATGGAAAGGTAAATAGGAGAGATAGAAGGGATCTCCAGAATTCAACTGAAGGAAAACGGAAATTTAGAGAGAAAGGATCGGTGTTTAATTTAATTTTGTTGTTTTTCTTTAAAAAAAATATATATATATCAAAGAATTTTTTATTGACCAGAACACCAGGACTAGGAGACAACCTGGGAGTTTTTTACAACCTTGAAGTTTGAAGCTTCCCCGACTATGGTGGGTGGCTAAACTGCGCACTTTTTCACTTGTTCCTGTTCCTGCGGTGCGCATGTGCCTCAGGTGCGTATGCTAGCATACCCGACAAACTAGGATGGATTTAAGAACAGCAACAAGACTCAAGGGACAAAAGCCAACAACAGATTACGGAGGTTTCCAATATCCAACAGCCAACAAAAGCATATATAGTATTTAGCTCCGAAATTGTCAAATCAAAGGTAAAAAAAAATTCTTTATTCTAAAGGTGTTAGTACAGGTGGCGTTATATGACTGGCGTTGTTCCGTGCCTTGTCATTGCCAGCTAGCTTAGAATCTATTAAAGCCGTTAATTAACTGTCAGTGGCTATTAAATTATTAATGAATTTCTTCTTTGAAACCAAATGAAAAGGATAACTGGTTCGCTCTGTGGGGGCTTCTCTACTGTTTCTCCAGATCAAATCAATTGTAATGAAAATGCATTAGGATAAAAGATTAAAAAAGTTATTACTGTTGATTTTATATGGAAAAAAAAAAAAAATCATTACATCATGTCAAGAGGGGAAAAATTTAATATGCTTGAAGCCCATCGTTTATTCAGTGGTCCCTTTTTTATAAATGAAAAAATTTCTTCTATTTTTACCCCTTTCTTTTTGATTTTTTTCCTTTTCATCCTTCCTTTTTTTTCTATTTTGGAAAAGGACCACCATGATCTAGACCCACGAAATATCTTTTCTGAAGAGAATCCATTCCTATTATATTAGTATGTATAACGGATTGTTTTGTTCAATAACTCATGAATAATTATGATGAATATGCAAAAAATTATGTGTAATGAATAATTCTAACATAAGTGTTAAAGCATATTATATTACGGGAGAGATTATATTTATAACAAATTTTCTATTACAACCACTTTTATGAATTATTGGATAAGAGAAAGAGATGGTAAATAATAACCTCCCTCGTTATATTATATTACAGTAATATTTATTTAAGTTAAATGATAATTTATGTAAATTATTGTGCGGTTTAAATATGATGGATAAGGATAACAAAAATTATTATTACAACAACAGGGACAGTGTGGCAGAAACAGCCATCATTGATTTCAGTTTTGATCAATGTGATTAAACATTGACTAAACTACGCTCATTTGTTGAGGTTAATTAAGTATTTTCTGATATTTCATTTCACAAAGCTATTGTTTTTATTATCTTCTCCCCTTTGTGCGATATGGGGGAGGACATACCAGTGTGACCGAGCATGAAAGTGAAATTTAACACTTATTCTGAAGTCTGGACCACGCTGATATAGACGGTTTCAATTTGACCATATCATCGATGACAAAATACGAAAACGAAACAAGGACCTTGTCAAGTTTAAGACCAATTCATGTTTCTTTCATTTTAAGAAAACAAGGCTTAAGTTTGATTTTTCCGGAATATGAATGGAACAAACACAATAAGCTCTTCTGGAACACACAGAAATTGGTGTATTATTATTTGTATATGGATACTTGAGTTGGTGGAACAGTGACTAAAGTGTCACTCTTGGAAAAAAAAATTACCAAACTGTCACGTCAACATAGTAAATTTTGCCAAAATATCACGTGACATATTTCGCTACATTGTGTAGCAAAATATGTGTGCAAATAATTCGCTACACAGTGTAGCGAAATATGCTACATCAGAATGCACAGAACCAAAAATGTCACTGTCAAATAAGGTGAAATTCGCTACACAGTGTAGCGAATTTTTACCTTGTTTGACACGTGACTTTTTTTGTTCTGACATGGTATATTTCGCTCCACTATGTAGCGAATTATTTGCACACATATTTCGCTGCACAGTGTAGTGAAATATGTCACGTGATATTTTGACAAAATTTACTGTTGACATACCAGTCTGCTAATTTTTTTTGCCGTAGCAAAATGATCACCGTTGCTGAGTTGGTTTTGCATATGAAAAGTACGTAAGACCCCAGAAACAAAAGGACAGCAATCAAAAAGTCCTATACTGCGGTAAAAAGTTTAGAACATTAGTGTTGGCAATTCTGTATACAGGAGAAAACATAATTATGAGATCTCATTAAGGGGAGAATATGCTATGCAATTATTTAGATTCATATCTATTAATTCTAATTGAAATTAATTTGAATTAATATAAATTATGCGTATAGACCATCCAAATTATATGATCCCTTATTTAGTATAAATAAGAATTATTGTCATGTCTTTTGTACCGCATGATATTACATTAATATAAAATATTAATCTATCCACTATTTTCTTTATCTTTCTACCTTTATTTTCAAATTCCTGTAATTTCAACAAGTAGTTAACATCAAAATTAATTTCAACAAATAGTTAATATCATTTTTTATGGTTATTTTTTTCAGACAGTAAAATTAGATTAAACGTCTTTTTTAGTACAATTAACATCATTTTGATCCTAAAAGATAAATGACATTAATAATTTAATTTATTAAATATTCTTTTGTTCACAAATGATAAGATTGAAAGACTAAATTAATGTCATTGTTATCATTAAAGGATTACATTAAGGGTAAATATTTTTGAGATAAATTTATTTTCATTAATGTATAAAAAAAATATCTCCAATAATTTAAAATGACGTCGGGATTTAGAAAAAAAAATTGGTATTTTAATAATTTTACTTTTCTTTTATATTATGTATTTTACTGATATACTTTCTTTTTTAAATCTCAAAATGATGTCATTTTAAGTTATAAGAGATAATTTTATCTCCTATTATAGAAAAACATTAATCCCTTAAATTAATGTTTAATTTTTGTGTGTAGAAGGACTAAATTAGAATATGATTAATATCAGTTATAAGAACTAAATTAATATTAACCCAATTTTTCTTATTTATTTTTTGATATGCCTTTCAACTATACTGGATTAGCATTGTGTGATGATTGTGTTCTAATAATTCTTCTTCGCCAAGTCAAGCATTTTTTTATTATTGCACTCACTTTCACCTAAAACGCAATTAGGCAGTTGGTGTGTACCATACTCCTCAGACTCCCCCAAAAAAACGTTTGCGTGTCCCATTAATTTAATTTTATCTACCCTCTGCTCGTCAGTTTCAACTGGCCAAACAAGACTATAATTTAAGGGGAATAATTTAAGGGGATTTTTGGTAGAGGTTTTATTTTTAGATTCTCAGAAAAAGGAGGGTGATAATTCAATTTATCTATGTTTTGCAGAAGATATTTTAAAAATTGCTCGGGAATGTAATTTGTGTATAAGGGGCTGTTTGGTAGGGGGCAAAAAAAAATTGGCCAGGAAAATAGAATAGGAAAAATAATATGGCCATGTTTGGTACGAGGATTAGGAATAAGTGTATGGGGAAAAAAAGCTGACTGTCTTTTTACTTTGTACACAAATGGGTTGGAAAATTTTGTCATTGTAGGGGTGGTTACCTTTTTTTCCTGTTGGTGGCAAATCCTTGACATCATAATATGACGAAAATGTCCTGCTTCACACGGTCAGAATTTCTACTTGTTATAAATAAATCTACAGATGCTTGTTAGTCCAAACGGTCTTCGACAGAGAGAGAATGACGATGAATGTATAAAAAAAAATACGAATTTCAACAATATTCAAATTCATGGATATTTTCGTAATTTCAGTAAATATTTTCATCATTTTTTTACAATCAACCAAATATACCTTAGTAAAATCAACCCACGTTTTCATGCAAAATTTTGGCCTACCAAACATATTTTCGTTACTTATCCGGTAACAAAAACTTCTCATCATATTCTCGTGCAATTTTTCTTTCCGGTCAAAAAAAATTTCTTCCATACCAAACGCTCCCTAAAAGTAAACCAAAATACCTCTTCCCTGGCAAAATGAAAAATTATATGTGAAAAATCTGACAAAAATTCGACAATATTTTGGCTTATCAAAAAATTGGAAAAACTTTACTTTCACCCATTGTGGTTTGTGTTGTATCATTTAGCACCCTGTGATTTAAAAATTATCACTTATATCCCTTGTGGTTGCACTATTTGTCATCTGTCCCCCGAATGACTAAAACATCCTCATAATATAAAATATCAAAAATACTCTTAATAAACAAAATATTAAATTAAAAATAAAATATCAAAATTATCCCTAATTAAAATTAAAACCCCAATACCCTTTCTCTCTTCTAATTTTGCAGAGGAGTCGTACGTGTAAGGGGTAGAATAAAAGACGAGCATGCTTTCTAACATGTCCTTATGCATCACTCATTGGAGCAAGTTTAACCTACCTCAATTTGTTCATTAAGGTCCCTTTGTACTTCCTTTTGCATTTGGAGAGCCTGAGTTATCTGCAAGTTTCTGGTAAACACATAATATGATTAATAAATGCTCTAGGCAATACCCTTTTTTATCCAAGATTCAATGATAATTTCTAAGGGAGAATTTTTTAATCTTCAGTGTTGAACTGATAATTTACCACTCGGTAATTTCTTCCTTTTTGTTTCTCTAATAAGAAATCAAAAGCATCCAAATTTTGTCATACAGTAAGAACCAAAAAAGTGCAATATTGTGAGTGGTAAAGACTAAGGATGAGATGATTAACGTGTTATTTTGCTTAATTTAATAAATTTTTTGAGATGAGGAAACTGAGCATTACGGTTATTAGTCGGTTATATTACCTTCTCGTACTCGACAATAGCAGCTAGACATTCTTCATTAGATGGATCCAGTACCACATAGTTTCTATTGCACCTTTATTTTAGTTTCTGAGCAAAAGCATAAACGTGGGCTACAAAATATCATTACAAATGTAAAGATTGAGCTCTTAAGTAATAGCCCGTTATGAGAGTATTTTGGCCACAAAATATCATTACAAATGTACAAGATTGAGCTTTTAAGTAATAGCCCATTATGAGGGTATTTTGGTCATTTGGGGCTTAAATGACACATAGTGAAACTACAATGGATGTAACTAATAATTTTTAAACCACATGGTGCTAAATGATACACACACAAATCACAATAGGTGAAAGTGAAATTTTTCCAATAATTTTTTGATAAACTCATTTTTTTACCATATTCCCAGCAATCATAATTCTTGGGTAAAAAAAAAAATTCTCAACCAAACATCCTATAAAGAGAAAACGAGTTTAAAATGATAGAAACAATATGAGAACTAAAAATATTGCAAAACTAAAATTATATTATTTATAAAATAAAAAAATTAAAAAAAACTCTCTTTAATTTTTCTCCTTCTTTTAAATTTTAATTTTTTTCTTATTTTTTCTTTCTGTCCAAACAAATGAGCCAACTGGGGCATGAGAGATAGGTTAAGTGGTAAAAAATTTCACAAGAAAAAATAGAGCAGTAAAAATCAAACCCATAATATTAAAGCTCTGATACTATGTAAGAAAGTAATTCAATTTAAAAGATTAAGCTAAAAAGTTATATTCACAAAATTTTTATTTATAAGATACATTATGTATTAGCGATAATATACTTTCCAACACATAAGATACTATCCCTAATATATAATATAATTTGTAAAAAATTATAAAACAAAAAATTATAAATATAACCGGGCCTCATAAGTATTGCAAATTGGCAATTGCTATGAAGCTTTGCTAGAAGGTATTTTTTAGAATTCTCGAAAAACTGAATATTTGTAAATTTTGTATTTCTGAATATTATTGTTCAAATATTTTCGATCGTATTTATGAAAATCGTGATTCTTGAATAAAATAAATTTATCCTGTACGAAAGTTTCTATCCAGATTTCTTCTCGCGAAGTTTGAACTTGATATGAAGGGGCGTAGGTCCTAACCGTAGAGCAAACAGGATCGAGCTACACTGCAATAGTAAAGTTGAGATGTCTCAAAGAATCGGGACAAGGCTGTTCGTCAGCAGTTAAGTTTCTTCTTTTGTTCCTCTTTCCTTTACCCTTCTTCATTAATGTTAAAAACCCCAAGTTTCTACCTTTGAACATTGCTTCATTTCATTTCCCAGGATTATCGTTTTTCACTACGAAGGAGCAGCTACAGATGTTGTTCTCTCCATTCGGAGTAGTTAAGGAAGGTGTGCCGTCTTTTTCTTTTTCTTTTTATTCTTCTCAAATGTTGTTTTCCCCGCTCCTTTTTTGCTGACTCACCGTGCTGTGGGTTGTTCAATTCTTCATTTGCAGCTAGTCTAGTGATGGACCCAAAAACTGGAAGGCCCAAAGGGTTTGGTTTTGTCTCCTACGAGTCTGAAATTGAAGCGGAAAAGGCTATGAAAGCCATGAATGGCAGGGTAATTTTGTCTACATCTATTGGTGTGTCATGAGTGCAATAAAACTGAATGCATCTATTTAGATAGGTTGTTTCATTTATTTAACAACATACCGTTTGATTTAATTTGTTTGGTGGTGTCAATGACTTTGCACTGATGTTGTTTGCTGAAATGCCTGATTGATTGGTGATTGGAGATAAGAAAGATATACTATTCATATGGATTTAAAGCCTTAGTTCGGTTTCTAGTTTAGCTTTTCCCGTTTGGTTCTCTAAGCTCTATGATGCCAACAAGCTTTCCTTGTTTTCTTTAGTGGGGTCAATGGAAACATTATTTATTACCACGGGAAGTTGAGGTGAATACCTTTTCACTTGAATCACTTGATTTCTTTCACAAACTAGTTTATTCCACCTTAGGACTCCGATTGAGCATCCTTGCTCGATGGAAAGTCAGGTAGATACTATTTTGAAGGCTGTTTGAAACTTGAGGAGAACCTTTAATATTCTCCTCAAGGACCTCAACTTAATAATCTGCTGCAAGCGGTGGTGGTGGAGTGAAGCCATGAAGAAGGAAATTTGATGTAGTTATATCTTCTTTCCTAAGAATAAATATAATGTGTTTCAGCTGTTGCTAAATTTATTTAGGCAGGGGTACGCCATTCAATATATTATAATGGAAACGCTGAGTATGTTCACAGCACATCAGTCGTTTTTCTGATGGACAAACTCATAATTAGTTTCTTGGGAAAACTTAAAAGACCCTGTGGGTTCTCCTTAGATTCATTTATCTCCTATGCTGTTTTTTTAATCAGTTACATCTCCTATGATTTTTTCATCAAAGTCCAACCCCTAACACTGTTAAAAATTATTTTATTTTACGTATTTTGTCCTTATATTGATTCCACATATGTTTGTGTAAAGAACCTTGGGATACACCACCCCAAAAGCTAGCTCAAAGGGTGGGAGTGCCCAAGGCCTTATAAACTCCACATTAGTTGCTCTTCAACCAATGTGGAACTATATATCTCAACAGTTTGCTTTTGCGTTTTCTTATAAATTCTAGTAAGCATTTGCTCAAGTGATAATTAACTTATCCTGAGATTATTTCCTAATCAGCAATCATTGGACCAATTAAAGCTCCATGCCTTTGTTTGACGTCAAAAATTGCAACAACAAAAGAACATCAGTTTCCAACTAGAAGTCCTGCTGTCATTTTGATAACTGTTGCTATATTTGCAGAAATATGATCAATAGCATTCTCATTCAAAGTTATTATTGCAGTTGTTGTTTCTATTGAAAAATGAATTAGTCGTAGCCTCATTCATGGTATTGGTATGTTGTTTTCATGGCACCTGTCAAGACTTTAATTCAGAGAATACTTCTGTTTTCATTCATATATTTTCCTCTTCAATGAGGTGCATTTATACAGATCAAGTACTTCCTAAAAATACAAATCAGAATAACTTTGTTTCCTAAAAATCTTCTAACAACTACTTTGTTACAAACAGAAATTTAATTTTAAATATTTACAACAGTATTTCAAATTCAAAACTTCCTAATCCAACACTCCCCCTCAAGTTGGTGCATGGATGTCATACATGCCTAACTTGTCAATTGTCTTCATTAGAGCTTTGCCAGAAACTGCCTTGGTCAAAATATCTGTCAACTGGTTTTCTGATCTGATAAATGGAGTGGTGATAATTTTCTGATCCAGCTTTTCCTTTATAAAATGTCTATCCACTTCAACATGCTTTGTCCTATCATGTTGAACCGGATTATGAGCAATTTCAATAGATGCCTTATTATCACAGTAAAGACTTATAGGAAGATCATAATTAATTCCTAACTCACTCAGAAGATTTTTAATCCACAAGAGTTCACAAATACAATGTGCCATACCTCTGAATTCTGCCTCTGCGCTTGATCTTGCAACAACCTTTTGTTTTTTACTCTTCCATGTGACTAGGTTGCCTTCTACCAGTGTAAAATAGCCTGAGGTGGACCGTCTAGTGATCTTGTCTCCAGCCCAATCAGAATCAGTGAATCCTTCAATGCCTTTCTTGCTGTTTTTTGAGAAAAGAATACCTTTTCCAGGTGATCCTTTCAAATACCTCAGAATACGGTGCACGGCCTTCATATGATCTTCACTAGGAGAGTGCATAAACCTGCTTACTATCCCTACTGCATAGGCGATGTCTGGTCGAGTATGTGAGAGATAAACAAGCCTTCCCACTAGTCTTTGATATCTTCCAATGTCAGCCTTTACTTGATTGGGGTATATACCAAGTGTGTGATTCATTTCAATGGGATTCTCAACCGGTTTGCAAGCCAACACTCCGGTTTCTGATAAGAGATCTAGAGTATATTTCCTTTGGGTTAGAAATATGCCATTTTGAGATCTTGCAATTTCTATCCCAAGAAAATATTTTAAGGGACCTAGATCCTTCATTTCGAACTCAGTTGCCAAATGATGTTCAAGGGACTTCATCTCATCAATGTCATCTCCGGTTAGCACCATGTCATCTACATAAACTATTAGAATAGTTATTTTCTCCCCTCTATGTTTATAAAACAGAGTATGGTCACAATTGCTCTGTTTGTACCCAAATCTTTTCATTGCTAAAGAGAAACGCCCAAATCATGCCCTGGGTGATTGCTTGAGTCCGTACAAGGCCTTCTGTAGTTTGCAGACCAGATTTCCATTAGATTGAGTTAGTTGCACTCCTGGTGGTATATCCAAGTAAGCTTCCTCCTCCAAGTCACCATTTAAGAATGCATTTTTTACGTCAAACTGTTTCAAAGGCCAATCCCTGTTAGCTGCTAAAGAGATTAGTATCCTTATAGTATTGAGTTTAGCTACCGGAGCAAATGTCTGTTGGTAGTCAATGTCATACTTCTGTGTATATCCCTTGGCCACTAGTCTTGCCTTGTATCGGTCTATGCTCCCATCTGCCTTTAATTTCACTGTAAACACCAATTTGCACCCGATTGTCTTCTTTCCATTTGGCAAAGGTGTTAATTCCCAAGTTGAGTTTTTTTGGAGTGCGTCCATCTCTACATTCATTGCTTTCTTCCAGTTTGGATCATCCAATGCTTCCTGTACACTATTTGGAATTGACACACTAGATAATTGAGTTACAGATAATGCATATGATTCAGATAAGTGTTGGGTAGATACATAATTGCTAAGGGGGTACTTAGCCTTTGCTTTGGGATCAGGTTCATAAAAAGTTTTTGGAATACCTTTGTTCATCCGAGAAGATTTTCTGGCAGGTATTTCAAGTGTATTCGAAGGAGGGATTAGAGTTACCTCTGTGCTATGTTCAGTTTGAATTTCTGGTTGAACTTCAGGGACAGCCATAGAAGAATCTTCGGGTATGTGTGTTAGACAAGGTTCTGCATTCTGTGATGCTGTAGGTTCATCAACTTCTGGTTGAGTATTCTGTTCTTCAAGATGAGCATGCTGTGCTGCTTCTGGTTGAATGGCCGAGGGTGCCATGTGAGTAGAGAGCCAAACGTCTTCTTCTCTAGTAATTGTGGATGCTGGATTCTCCCCCTGAGAAGGAGAAGTGGAGGCTCCCCCTGAGTAATAAGGCTCAGTTTCCCTGAAATTGACCTCTAAAGTGACATGCATTTTATGAGAAAGAGGGTCAAAATAGCGATAACCTTTCTGAACATCTGAATACCCAACGAAAATACATTTTTTTGCACAAGGATCCAATTTAGATCGCTGGTTTTTGGGAATATGGACATAGGAGGTGCAGCCAAAGACTCTGGGTTCAAGGTTAGATGAATGAGGGGTAGGAAAGTGAGAGGTAAGGACTTGGTAAGGTGTTAGGAAATTAAGGACACTAGAGGGGGTCCTATTGATAAGGTATGCAGCAGAAGTGACAGCCTCCCCCCAATAAGAGGAAGGAACATTCATGCCAAACAAGGAAGCACGAACTACTTCTAAGAGTGTGCGGTTCATTCTCTCGGCTAAACCGTTTTGCTGTGGGGTATAAGAACAAGAGGTGTTGTGTTTAATGCCATGAGAAGACAAAAAATCAGCAAAGTTCGCAGCCATATACTCCATGCCATTATCTGACTGAAGGATCTTAATATTGGTATTAAACTGAGTTTGAACCATGCAGAAAAAAAAATTAAACACAGAAAAAACTTCTCCTTTATTTTTTAAGAGACTCACCCAGCACATACGCATACACTCATCAATGAATGTTACATAATAAAAAGATTTGGATAAGGAAGGCACTTGGGCAGGGCCCCAGACGTCAGAATGAATAACTTGAAACGGAATAATACTTTTATTCAAACTTGGATAATAAGGAATTCTATGGCTTTTAGCCAATTCACAAATAGAACAATGGAAATCAGCAATGCTTACATCAGAAAAAAATTGGGGAAATAATTTTTTGAGATATCTAAAAGAAAGGTGACCTAATCGTCTATGCCAAATCCAGATAGTATCTTTTGCAGAATCCACAGCAGAAGTAGCAGACACACGAGGAGGAGCATCACGACTACAACGGGAAGCATCCAAAAAATACAACTTGCCTTTCCTAACACCATAACCAATGATCTCCTTTGTTTGGTTGTCCTGGAAGATACAGACAACAGGCAGAAAAATCACAGAACAATTAAGGTTAGAAGTAATTTGACTAACAGAAAGAAGATTGAAGTCCAGAGAGGGAACAGCCAAAACCAAGGGAAGATGTAACCGGTCAGAGAGAGAAATTGAACCTTGACCAACAATGGCAGAGGTTCCACCATTGGCCGTAGAGATCACAGTCTTTGGGGAAGGGGAAAGATTAGACAAAAGGTTAGGATTACGAATCATATGATCAGAAGCACCTGTATCAATTATCCATGAATCAATTTGAGATAGGGTAGAGAAAGCATGAGACTTACCAAGAATACCTTCGTATACCGCATTGGCTGAAGGAGGGGGACCCATATCAGGGAAGACAGGTGCAGCTTTGTCCAGAACCTTACGGCGAGGTCTCTTATTAAAATCCCACCATTCGGGATATCCAATGACTTCATAGCAGCGCGTCTTCGTATGAGCAGAATCTCCACAGTGGGAGCATAGAAGCTTGGAAGAAGGAGTATCTTTGCGAGATTTCAGAGAGGCAGAGGAAGAACGAGAAGTGTTCACCACCATGGCTGAGGATTCATTAGAGGAGAGAGGACGATTCATGGTGACGCGTTGCTGCTGTTCTCGCCGAACATACGCATAGGAGCCTTCAAGGTCCAATTTCGGGTCCTTCCGGAGGATTTCACCGCGAACCTGGTCGAACTCAGCATCAAGACCGCTGAGAAAGATGTGAACGCGTAAGCGAACCATAGCTGAGTGCATCTGAAGAACCCCCGCAACAGTGCCAGCCTGAGTAGATGTACGGTGGTCAATCTCCTGGAAGATGGAGAGGAGGTCATTGAAGTATGTTGAAAGGGGACGGCCATGCTGTTTGGTGTTGAAGGAACGTTGATTCAACTCAAACAAGCAAGTTTCGTCGGAGCCATCAAAAAACGTACGCTTGACAGCGTCCCAGATCTCAGAGGCGGATTCGAGCCGTATGAAGCGCTGCATCAGGGATGGAGTCATGGAGTCAATGAGCCAGCTCTTGACTCTTTTGTTTTCAGTAACCCATGTATCATACGATGGGTCTTCAGGTGGGGGTTTGGACAAGGTTCCAGTTAAGTAACCAGATTTGTTTCGCGCTCCGATGTGCATATCTAACAACTGGGACCAAAGAGGGTAATTTGTGTCGTCAAGCACAACGGTGATGGGAAAGGAAAAGTTGTCTTGTTGAATGATGATGTTTGAGGGTGGAGGAGGAGGAGGAGGAGTGGGAGGAACCACGGTGGTGGAGTCTGGGTTTTCCATGGAGGTGACTTAGGGATTCGAAGAAAAAAAAATAGGGATTTTGAGAAGAAGGAATTTGGGATTCGAATGAAAGAAACCGGTTTTGGGTCGGATACGGGTCGGCTATTAGTGGGAATGGATGGTTTGGTTCGGGTATACAAAGAAATTGAAGAGAAAATTGGGAAATGGGGTTCCTGGATCAATAATTAACTGATACCATGTCAAGACTTTAATTCAGAGAATACTTCTGTTTTCATTCATATATTTTCCTCTTCAATGAGGTGCATTTATACAGATCAAGTACTTCCTAAAAATACAAATCAGAATAACTTTGTTTCCTAAAAATCTTCTAACAACTACTTTGTTACAAACAGAAATTTAATTTTAAATATTTACAACAGTATTTCAAATTCAAAACTTCCTAATCCAACAGCACCATTGCTGAACAAGACTCCTTCATGCGTAGTTGGATACTAGAGCAGTGTGAATTAGCATTTGCCCACTTTTGGGGCAGTTTATCCATTGTGCCATTGAAGTTCGAAATTCATCGGTGTCGGTTTTCTCATTAAATCAAGTGAAATTGGGCAATAAAATTCATGAGGAATACTAGTGTTAAACTGGGACAAAACGGGTAATATAATCTAGTTTTTAACAGTGTTATGAGTTAGACTTGAATGGAAAAACCATAGAGGAGATAAGTGATTAAAAAATAGCACAAGGGGGGAAAATGATTCTAAGGAAAATCGTAAGGTTTTTTTTTAAGTTTATAGTTGTAATGATCGTCATAGGAGTTACTCATGAAACTTGAATTGTGTTAGTTATATTGCTCTTCAACCTTGTTTACACCTTTTTACCATTACGGATTCATACGTACTATGTAAAAGTAAACTATGTTTTGTGCTTCTCTAATCTTGTCCTTTCGTTGGAAATATAGTAATCATCCAGCTAAATGCTCATGGCATGGCTTATTGTAGTTTGATACTTTAAGAACATCACATTAGCACATACACATCTAGATTGGACCAATTTTGAATTTGATATGCTGCCTGCATGATAAGTGAAAAAATTGGAAAACAAGTTGGGACATGGGAATTCTAAAGATTGCGCACATCTAGCGCGCAAACTGAAACACTGTTTCTTGCCACATTACATCCTTTGAGGAGAAAAAAAAATTTAACCGTGAAATACAATTATCGGAAAAATGATGGGAAAGTAATTTTTTTGAAGAAGTTAAAAAAAATTATTTGGTAAATAGAAAAATTTTATATTCCCAAGTGGACATTTTGTTTCATTTTTACACTACAAGAATTTTACAATCAAAATTATTTTTCTAGACAAATTTTCCTTACTCCATACCAAAGATAATCATTTATGAATCACATCTACCGCTTTATTAGCTTTCTCAAAAAAATCTACCTACCAAAATCTTCCTTTAGTTGCATACCTTCCTCTTTATTGTCGTTGACCTTACTAATAAAAAGAAGGGAAAAGTTCACCGATGCCTTTATGGTTTACTCCAGAATCACTTATGTCCCTTTGATTTTTTTCTTATCACATATGCCCCTATGATTTGTAAAATGTAAAAGGATATGTTTTTTATCATATATGTCGCTGTGATTTCTTAGTTTTTACAAAGCACAAGGCATATGTGATCGAAAAAAAATCACAGGGACATGAGTGATTCTGAAGTAAACCACAAGAGTATTGGTGAACTTTTCCCTAAAAAGAATCATAGGCATAGCTAGGGATCTGACATAATAAATTTACATAGCATCCGTTTGTTGTTTTATGGAATTGAATTTTGAATTTCCTGCTTGGTGCAGATAGTTAATGGAAGGCTGATTTTCGTTGAACCTTCAAACGCTAAATGACCGGGAGAAGACGATGCCTCTTGACACTGGGTGATTATATTTGTCCATGGAACTAATTTTGTGTTTATTAAATATTTTTTTTTTCAAATGTAGAGTCAATCTTGACTAATCAAAGTAACGACTCATCTTACATTATTTGTCCATTATTTCATATTTATTCGTCACTCATTCAATTTGGGACATTATCCCATAAGCAAAACAATCGCCTACATTTGGAACATTCATGACTAAAAGCTCGATGTTTCTATTGATTGGGTGAAAATCCTACAAGGGGATACAATTGAGATCAGAATAACATACTTTCCAAGCGAATAAAACTTCTTGCTGCAGACAATAAATAAAAAAAAACACCTAAACCCAGATATGCACACACACTAAATAAAGAGAAACAAACTAAAATTTAAAAAACTAATCAAGCTTTCTTGGGAGACTTAGTGGCCTTAGAAGGAGACTTAGGCTCCTTGCTAGCCTGAGTCTTCTTAGGCAACAGCACTGGGTTAATATTGGGTAGAACACCACCATGTGCAATCGTAACACCAGCAAGCAATTTCCCAAGCTCCTCATCATTCCTCACCGCAAGCAAAACATGCCTCGGGATAATCCTGTTCTTCTTGTTATCACGAGCTGCATTTCCAGCCAACTCAAGCACCTGCATCCATTCCCATTAACACACACAAATATTCCTCAAATTCAGAATATTAAAAATTTAATTTCAAAGTTTCAAGTTAATAAAGCAAAATTAGGTTACCTCAGCGGCTAGATACTCGAGTACAGCAGCCAGGTAAACAGGTGCACCTGTACCAACGCGCTGTGAGTACCTTCCTTTCTTCAAGTAACGCCCGATTCTTCCAACGGGGAATTGAAGACCAGCCTTCACGGATCGAGAAACTGGCTTCTTCTTTGGGCCTCCACCTTTTCTACCTCCTGCACCCTTCTTCACTTTTCCACCACCGTCCATTGGAACCCTAGCACTGACTGTGATGAACGAATTTGAGTTTTGTGTGATTTACGAAAGAGAGGGAGGGAAGGTTTTGTTGTGAAATGAGGAGGCGCCAGCGCGGTTTTATGGAGGTTTCGGTGAGTCTATGGATTGAGCACTGAGCGGAATGTGATCGTTGGATTGGATCCTATCTACGACTGCGGATGATTTATATTTGCAATCCGTGCGCTTTTGAATGGACCAATGGAACGCCACTATTCGACTCCCTCTTTCTTCATATTTGTATTGCGTTTGGATTCTTTTTTCTCTTTTTTTAAATAGATTGGCCACGTCATCCTTCTTAAGAGCGAATAAATTTTTGGTGCTACTGTTGCACCAAAATTCAGTGCATCTAATCAATGGAAGCATTACACATCATAGGAGAGAGAACAAATTTGACAGAGAAAATAAAATTTTAACTGACATATAATATTTCTATTAGTGGGATATACTGAATCTTTGGTGCAACAGTAACACTAAAAATTTATTCCTTACTAGTTGTGTTTAGCATTATTGTCTAGTACTCTAGTCTTTTTGTATGGGCTTTTAAAATAATAAATTTTTAATAATTTGCTTTTTTTTTAAAGGAATTCCAAAGAATTTTTGAGTAAAAAAAACAAAGAAAGGTTATATTAATAACTTTGTTCGCTTATAATATTTTATAATTAAATTTTAACCGTTGATTTTTATCAATTTAACGGTTATAATTTATTGGGTCATATTTATTAATTAATTATTGATAAATCATAATCATCTAATTAACCAAAATTAACAGTTAAGATTTGTTGTAAGATGTTTTAAGTGAAAAGATGTTGTAAATATAATATTTTTCAAAACAAATATTTTGATGTTAATATATATAAATATTTTTATATATAAGATTACTAAAAGGGATTGTGAGGGTTGGGATAAAATTGAATTTTGACAAAATATTTATTTTTTCTTCTGCTTTTTTCCTATAAGTAAGGAATCTTGGCTCGGAAAAAAGGTATTATTTTAACCTTTTTTTTTGCTTTCTTAAAAATTTGTATCCAAATGCACATATTAAATAATAAAAAAACACTTTTAAAAGGTCTTACTTGATGGGGGAAATTTCCTGAAAACGTATTATTTAAATTTTAACCTTAGATTCTTCATTTTCCATTAAAAAATTAATTTTAGCCCATTTGGATGATTTTTTATTTTTTAATCAAAAACTCCATTATAAAAAAAGTAGAAGTCACAGAAACAAAAACAAACTAAAAGCTGAGAGTTAGATGTGTGCAAAAGGGTATTTGATTAAAAATATTATTATGTTTTAGGGTAAACTTAAATTAGAATTAGATAGTGGAAAATTCTTAATTTTTTGTGAAACATAAAAAGATTTGTTTATAGGTGCTCTACTAGGATAATAATAGCTTTTTCTTTAACAACTAACTACGTGTATAATAATGATGTATTCAAATACTGTAAGTATATAAGTGTCCTAGAGACAATCTGAGAGTCAGATGGACTCATGTACTTCTTTATTGTTATGAATAAAAACATTCTTTATCTTGTTTCATATTGCAATTCTGAAATATTGAATATGAGTAAATTGATAAAGCCTTTGGAATTGAACGGGTGTCACATTGAGGATCTGTGATGGGAATCACGATCGTGAGGGCTTAATGACACCACACATCCATTGCCAGAAACATGTTCCTAGTCTAGAGATACTGATAATGGGCATTGGTGATCTCAGGTAAGACTAGCACGACTCAGTTACTTGCATAGAGATGCAAGGTAGAGTCCTCGTGAGCTACATACATTGAGATGTCTTGGCTGACTTGTGGGTAGACCTATTGGAGAATAGCTCGCATTGAATTGACCCATAAAGAGACATTACAAAGAAATCTCACAGATAGTATCAATAGGTAATGTCTCTTATTATTTGAGTGTGTTTTTTCTTAGACCTGACGTTGTCATATAGACCTGTGTTCTAGAAGGCTTGTTTTGATTGTATACCTTATTTGCCTGAAACATGGAGACTCCTAGGTATACTCTTGGGCATGTCCTAAGGAATCAGGGCTAGTGTGACAAGCTGAAGGAATTCGTCAATCTTTGTGAGAGATTAGGTTATCCATAGACCGGTGAAACTGGATGACATTTACGGGACTCGGGAATCTATGCATAGTAAATGAGTTATGAGATGGCCCGCTCTTTAGAGTCTGTAAGTGAAAATTCTTTGTTTCAGCAAAAGATAATCCTAGACCATAGGGTTTGATACATTTTTCTTGACCTAGGTCAATAGGACGGATAACCGAGACAAAAGGACAATTCACACGGTAATCAAATAGGTATAACAGGTTGATCATTCGACGAACTCAACTAACTCTTGGACAACAAAGCATTACTAGTGCTCTGTGTTGTCATTAGATGGATTGGGCCTAATGGGCCCAAGCTCATTTATGTTAGTGGTTGTGTTGGCCCTGATGGGTTGCACACAAACACCTTAAGTTGTCTTAAATTATAGTATATGAGGTTTTGACCCAATAAGGGATAATGGGCTTAAGTTGGTAAAGCCCACATATTGGGCGAAGAGAGGGTAGGTGGCATCATGGGCCAAGTTGGACTTGATCCATGATGTAACCTAATTAATTTAAATGTTAAATTAATAAAATTAATTTAAACACTAATTTTGAATTTTGAAATTTGAATTTAAATAATTTGAATTTTAATTTCGAATTTAAATAAAATTAATTTAAATTCTAATTTTTAATTTCAAATTTGAATTTAAATATAGTCATTAAATTAGATTTAATGAATATGGAGAAAATAAAGAAATTAATTAATTAGATTGAATAACAAAAATTAAGGAAATCAAATAATTAGATTAATTGGCTAAAATTGGAGAAATCAATCAATTGGATTGATTGGATAAAATTAAGGAAATCAATTAATTAAATTAAGTGGTTGAAATTGGGAAAACTAATCAATTGGATTGATTGGATAAAATTAAGAAAATTACCCAATAAGATTGGGATTTGTTGAGGCGTTGATTTGACCTAGTCTTAGGTTAATGAGGCACCACATATATATAGCCCATTGTCTTCCTTAATTTCGTAACTCTTCATCTCTAATGCAATACACAAGTACAATATGTTATTACTTCTTGTAGATAAGGATGACTAATATCGTTGTAACTGATGGCTTAGATCCTTGTAACTACTGTGTACTTTCATTGTCTACATATAGATGTGACCACATTAATAGAAAGCAATCAAAACCCTTTTCTCAATTTCAATATGCATGAGAAAACGTTTGATCCTTGCCTTACACACTCTTCTTACCATAGCTTTTATATATATTTTTTCAATAGTGCGTAGCCTAAACTTCTTTCTTCTCTTCTCCATATTATCATGACCACTACATATGGCAACACTTATACACCTGACGTAAGAACTAACGCATTCAAGGTTAGTGACTCTCAGTCCCCTTTCTTAGTACCCACATATGACAACCCTGGCATATTGCTTACAAATATTTCACTACCTGGATAATCCAACTATGAAAGCTGGAGTAGGGCAATAAAAAGCGCACCTAACTCCAAAAACAAATTGGGCTTTATTAGTAGTGAGATTATTGCCCCAACAGACAAAACTTCTGAATAAGGACATGCTTGGCGCGTCTGTAATTCCATGATTTCGGGTTAGATTCACAACACTATTGAACCCTCCATTCGGCATTTCATCAAATACTTCCCCATGACAAAACAACTTTGGGATAACCTTAAAGAATGTTATTCTATAGTCAATCTCTCTCGTATCTATCAACTAAAATGCACATTTCCTACCATTCGTCAGCAAGGCACTACTATCAGCTCCTATTACACCCAACTTCGTGTCATTTGGGATGAGTTAGAATCATTTTACTTATAATAGCCCGCATAATTAAAAGTCACTAATTGGATTTAGATATGGAATTAAGGAGGTTAAATGAGGATTTGTGAAACAATATGGTAAAATGGCATCAGGTGACTGCTTGTTCACTTAAGCGAGAAGCCTAGCAATCAAGCACATTGCTCACGGATTAGCTCGCTTCAGCGAGCATATCAGCGAGCAGACCCGAAAATTTGTTAAAAATATTAGAAACTATATCTCCTCATTTATTCCCAACCCTAACTCGTGAGAAGCCCAACCATGGCCGAAGATCTCTTTTTCTCACACCTCTATTAATGTTCCCTACCTATTGAAGCTTATAATACATCACAAATTTGATTTGCCTCCATTAATTCCACCCTCCAAGCCTTGTGTTTAACCAACCGAGAATAAGCCCCAAATATTTCCCTCATCCACTATTTTTGTCATCCTCTAGAAGGGAGAAGGAGAAGCTTTCCTCCCTTGGATGCTTGGAGTATGATTTCTCCTTGTTGTGGAAACATAAGAGGTAAACTTTTGTGGTTTGATTTGGAGTTTCCTTGGATTTTGAACATTCGATGTTAGGGTTTTCTTAGTGTTTTGACGGAAAATTCGAAAATAGCTATATGTTTTGGTGTTTGATGCTAGAGTATATGTTGTTGTGTCCTAGGTTGATGTTGGTGGTGATGATCTTGGTGTGGAACCTTTTTTGAGCTAGGTTATTATGATTTCAGCAAGTGGGTAAGTATTAAACCCATGCCTTTGATGATTTATGACTTGTGTTGTAATATTCTTTTTTATGTTGATATTGCATATAACCACGCACCTTGTAATAGGTTGTTTAGGATTGTGGCACCTTTGGTTATATTGGATTTTTTTAGGAACCAAGAGGAGCAAAAGCATAACATTGTGACAAGTAAGCTCTTAGACCTTGGGGACTTTTTCCTTTGATGTTCCACCACACTCTATGTGGAGTTGTGGTTTGTATAACATGATTGTGTATTGGTATTGAAACTGAGTGTTGTTGCTTGAGATTGAGAATGTAATGTGCTATATGCGATTAGATAGATTCTCTCGCCAGTAGAACTGTTTATGCGAGCATTCTTGGGATAGCTGATGGACTTGAGGAATGGCGTGGTATGTGTTAATACACCTTGCATAGTT